TGACTCTTATTAATAAATTAATTCCTGTCATACTTGACTTACTTTGAGCCATCATCCAGTGATCCTATGTGGCTGCTGACACTGATAAAAAATTGCTCGGTGGCTTCCAAGTAGACTGCAGGTCCCGCCATCTCTTTCTTCTTCAAGTCCGGGATGGAGAAGAAGCGCGACTGGTGAAGCGCTTGAAACTGGTGAAGGGGAAATGTGGCCACTGCCAGATTGAACTGGTGAATAATGGTTTGGTTCTGTCCTTCATGCATGAAATGAAATTTAAGAAATGAATTAAAGAAAACCTTGTATCCGAGGATCTTCCTATGATCAAAAAAATCCACAATTTGGATCTTTTAGACATGCGAAGTTCGTGGTCCATAACCTGTCTTTGAAGTAAAGAAGAAAGAAGAGTAAGTCTAAAGGATTAAAATGCATCCAGCATCTTAAAATATTTTCTCAGGTATATCAAATACTTCAAAATATTTTATAATACATCCAACATCCTGAAGTATTTTTTTAGATATATTCAGCATTGTAAAATATTTTTTTAATGCATTCAACATCTCAAAGTATTTTTTTAGATGCTTTTAGCATCTAAAAATATTTTTTAATGCATTCAACACCAAGACAAAAAAAATACTTTAGTATGTTATGCACCCCTAAAAAATGCTTGGAGGCACTGAATACATCACAAAATATTTTAAAATACTAAATATACCTGAAAAAATATTTTAAGACGTTAGATACACGTTAGTTGCAGTTCCCAAAGCATAGATAGAGTTTATACGTATGATCAGTTTCATTTGCAAACCCCTGAAAGGGTCCAATTGGGTCAACTTGCATTGAAGGAGGACCCACTGAAAAGCTTCCACGTAGGCTTTAGATAGGCATTGGCCTTACGTAGAGCATCGTAAACCACTCAATATCTCATCCTTCCAATCGCCGATCCTCTTGGAGTCCTGGTGGGGGCATGCCTCCCCATTTACAGCCCTCTCGCTGATTCTGAATTTTTTACTTCCCGGCTCATAAACCCTATCTCTATCCATCTCTTACACTTATCGCTTGCTTTCTCTTTCTTTCACTTGGTGTTCTTTCTTTGCCCCTTTCAATGGCCTCTGTTTCAGCTGCTTCTTCTCTCAAGCTTTTTAGCAGCACTGGCCAGGTTCATAATCCCTTCTACGCTTCCTCTTTTCTCTGGAGCATCATCTTCCCCACTCTTATGTTTTGTCTATTCATTCTTAAATGCGTCATTGCTGGGTTTTCTCTCTTTCTGTATTGTTTGGCCTTTTGGGTACAATGCTTTCCGTTATAATGCAATAGCGTGACTTTAAAATGTCCAAAATTCGTCTATTTCACGCTGCTGTGGATGTTTTTGGTCTTTCCATTGCATGGAACCACGTAGAACTTCATCTTCGCAAGGTGTTCGCGAAATTTCCCCAACTAGTGCTCGGACACCACTAAACCCCTATTCCTTTTGTTTATTTATTTATTTATGTTAGAATCACGTATATATGTTCGGACTTGCCGTTACTGAGAGGCGCCTTTCTAATTTTATTAGCCGACTTCCTCTGGGTCAAATCACTATATTTTAGTTTTTCTGCGTTTGGAGCAACACCCTGCCAATGGTAAGATTTGCTATATACATATAGTGGTTTGCAGACAACATAACATCTTGCTCAAATCAAGAAAAGGGTATTGGCCATGAATTGGAACTAGCTAAAGCTTGATTATGAAACCAGAGTCTGTGATTCGTTGATTCTCTTCTAAGATCAGGCTGATAAAAAGAAGGGTATTGACCATGAAATAGAGCAAATTAAAGTGAGTAGAAAATTTGATTTGGATAGTTCAATCATGCAGGCTTCTTGGAGAGGTTCAAGTTTGAAGGCTGTGTCAGTAAGATGGGCAAAGACCAGCTTCCCTTCCTTGAGAACTTCCCGTTTCCGCATATCTAGTGCTGTGAGTTTGGTTTCCTGATATATATATATATATATATATATATTCACACGTGGTGTGACCCTTTCCATGTCAATTCTATGAAATAAAAAAGGAACTTGTAACATTTTGTAAAACGATACAGGCAAAACCAGAGACAGTGCAGCAAGTCTGCAACGTGTGAGGAGGAAACAACTTGCTCTGCCTCCCGAATCAGAGCTCACTCCAGAAACCAAGTTTTCTGCCCTCGGTGCTGATTCTCTTGACACGGTAAGTTTCAAATTCTTGATGAGCATTCTTGATATGAACGTCCTAATATTCATAGGGCCATGGCCCCTGCTGAGTGAGTGTACGGCGTCTCATCTCTCAATTTAACTGACTTATTAATTTAAATTATAATTATAACTGGATATATATAAATTGACATTAACACTGCCTTTAAAGACCAAAAAAGTAATCTTTTGTGATATATGTCAGCTATGAGCAATTAAGTATGTTATCCTGTTTAGTTGATCAACTTGGATGGTTTTGTTAAAAGAGGTAAACATAAAGTGGGTGTTTGGGTGGTAGGTGGAAATAGTGATGGGTTTGGAAGAAGTGTTTGACATCAGCGTGGAGGAAGAGAGCTCTGAAAACATCACAACTGTGCAAGAAGCTGCTGAATTAATTGAGAAACTTGTCCAAAAGAAGGCTGCTCCTTAATTAATCATTATTCAAATTGTAGCAATGAAATGAGGGATTAAAGTGTGATTCATTGAATTCGCCTATTCTTTCCCCCTTTTTGTTCCCCTTCACTGGCAGGCGCTCTATCATACTACTACTTGTATATTTTATGACTTAATTGGTTTAACTTGCCTTTTGCTTCAAGATATGAGCACAAACGTTCGTTGCATGTTCTCTCCCCTCAAGATAGGCATCAAATTTCTTTATCTTGAACTTCACTTTACGCCCATGTTAATTATTACTGTACTTTTGTGAGAGGTTGCATTTTGAACTTTGATTATGGCTGGCAACTTTCTCAAAAAGAGTAGACTTCATGCTGTGCCTGTTCATAATTAAGCGTGGGTTATCTTACATAAAATGAGTCGTGACATCTGGACTAATTAACTTGTACTAATCATAATAGATAGTTTTCAAAATTTTGTGACTCGGAAGATTAGTGTGATTGCAGAGTTTTTATACTGAAAAAGAGGAAAGTGGTGGGTGACGTGCTTGATACTCGAGTGAACCAACGAGGAACAAGAGGATGCCGTATAAAATGAGATCACATGCATACGTATAGCCTCAGCGGTTTTAGGTGTATAAGCAACTGAACCTCGGTGGTTTTTTAACAATTGACATCATTAACTTGAAATTTTTTTCCAAAAAAAATGTTCGAGGGGGTGTTTATGATCAGAGTGTTATGATGTTCAGATAAAAAAAAAAAATCAAAGGTAAATTACTTTGGTAAATTAAAAAAAGTAATTGTCATTTTTTGTATGGATATTTTTTTTTGGAAAAATGTACGCATATTCTTTTTTATCTTTTTCAAGGTGTTCAAATCTCTATCATTTTCTTGATAAGTAAGAACATCCCATGTGATATTACTCGATGCACAAGTAATTAATGTAACTTCCGTTCCACTTATTGATCATTAATTAATTGAGAAAAGCACTATTAAACTTGCAGCCTTTCAGCACAATAGGAATTAGGAATGATGTTCTGGCAACGAAAAAGAGGGAAAAAAAAAAAAAAAAGACATCACGGGATTGAGGAATGATAGAGTTGGACTTTTTTTTTTTTTGCCAGCAAGAGTTGGACTTAATTGCGGCATTTTCTGGAAAGCATTAATTGCATTGCCTAGTCAGCGAGTTCTTTTTTGGCCACATCGAATTGAGGAATCCTCTGTTGTTTGGTGCTCCACATCACCAAAAGCGAAATTCAGCTTCCACGACGCCGTTTTTCCCCGCCGCCAAATTGATAGTTGTCCATTTTAGCGAGGGTAAAAAAAGTATTCTGAAAATACAAGTCAGAACAGATTTCAGCTCAAACGTACTCTGATATTCTCGGGATTCTTTGAAGCGGGTGTCGTTTTGACGAGTTCATCCCGGGTCTGACCACCCCGCGACTCGAAAAAGCTCTCCGTTTCTCCCTCCTCCACAATCGGTCCCATTTTTCTTCGATTTCCTCGAGAGAATATAGCGCCGAGGAAATCTCGGTGTTTCCTTCAGCAGAGCAAGGTGCGTTTTCACTTATATATACGTAGCATAAAGTGATGGATCGGAGGAGAACTGGAAGTCCTGTGTACTCGCGGCAGTGGAGCGGTTCCAGCAGCACCGGCTCATCATCTCCGGCGATGTCGCCGGCTCATCCTCAGTCCCGTCTTGGCACGTCTTCCACCGGCCTCTCTACCATCAAGCGGACGCAAAACGTAGCAGCCAAAGCAGCTGCACAGCGTCTGGCTCAGGTCATGGCGTCTCAGACAGCCGATGACGACGAAGAAGATGATGATCTCGGATTTCGGTACAGTGCTCCGACTCCTCCAGCCGTATTCTTACTCCAGCAACTTAAATAATAACAAGAATGGTGTTACCACTACCATCCCTCCGGTTTCGCTCGCAAGACCTAATAGATCTCCCTCTCCTGCGGTAATTCTGACACTGTTCTCCGAGGCTCATTTCTGATGCGTTAATGATTTTTTGGCTGAATTCGGTCATTGAATTATGGATAACGAAGTTGGACGAGGACGATTTCTTTGAATTTTTTTAGTTGGACCCTGGAAAGCGAAATTGGGCGGGGAAAATTTTAGTTTCGACGACTGTTTGGCTTACTGATGCTTTTACCTGAATATATTTTTCTTCTCCCCTCTCCCCCAATTCTATATACGTAAAATTGCTAGTGCTTGGCTTTCTTCAACGGTGTGTCACGCAGCTCCTGCGTAGCTAAATCGATTTTGATCTTTTATTAGTTAGGTCGGAACTTTGTAGTTGTTGGGAATGAGCTAATAATATGCAACTAAAGCATCATAAATATGAAGGATAAATCATGTGATTCTCGTGCATGTTTATTATGCTCTGGATGACTTGTCCCTCTACGAACCTTTTAATCGTTGGACATTGATTTCAGGTTTTCATCAGATATTGGGCAACTTAACTCAAAAGGCGCAGGAGATACGCGTGAAGCTTCTGCACTTCGTGATGAAGTACAGTTTATATGCAATAACTTTTTCTCCACAATTAAATTTGATGACCTTATATAGGCAAATCTAGCTCTTAAACTGTATTTTTGGTGGAGTTTGTATTACAATCTTTAAACGATTGATACTGAAGCTGATTCATTGATACTACAGCTTGATATGGTGCAAGAAGAAAATGAGGTCATATTGGACAAGGTTTGCTCCTTCACACCCAATAGTACTCGGCTTTATATTCATGTCATGCGATGTTGAAGTATATGGCTGATTATATTTGCAGCTAAGACGTGCAGAGGAAAGACGTGAAGAAGCGGAGGCTAGAGCTAGGGAGCTTGAAAAACAGGTGACTTATTCTAGATGCTAGCTAAACATTGAAAATTAGCCCAATGCAATACTGTCAATATGAGATTTTGATTAATTACTCTACTTCTTAGAGACACTCTATCAGTGTGGAATGAAAAATGAATTACTTAAAAATACAAGATGTTTAATACATATTGTTTTTCTTTCTGTATGCTGATTCTCGAGTGATCTCATGTCTTTGTACTCTTTGATTTTAATCTTTGTAGGTTGCCTCTCTTGGAGAAGGAGTATCCCTGGAAGCCAAATTACTGAGCAGGTAGACTTTCTTCAAATCTCCTTATTCTTTGTTGGCTCCGCTATAGGTTTTAATTTCTGTGAGGTGAATTTGCAGGAAGGAAGCTGCTCTGCGACAAAGAGAGGTATTCTTAATGAATAAGTTTTATATATGCAAGAAAAATTTTGGTTAATATGGTTGAAACTTGGAATTTTATTTGCTAATTCATTAATGGGCTTCTTTCAAACACTGTTTTTGCCACAGGCTGCTCTCAAGGCTGCACAACAAACAAGGGATGGGAAAGATGATGAAATTGCAGCCCTTCGCGTAGAAATCCAGGTAATTTTTAACTGGCTGTGCATTGTTTCCTCTTAAAATTGTAATATACTTGCTGTAGTCAAGTGTTTCCTGGTTTGGATTGTAATTCTCTTTATTGTCTTCATCAGAACCTAAAAGATGATGCTGCAGCAGCTGTGGAGCAACAGCGAGAAGCAGAATCTGAAGCAAATGCTCTTCGTACAATGACTCAGAGAATGATTTTGACCCAAGAAGAAATGGTTTGTATTTTTTCCCCAATGAAAGGAGTACTAGTGACTTATTCACTTTTGCTTATGCCTTCCCACATTTCCTGTCTTTTCTTCAGGAGGAAGTTGTCCTGAAGAGGTGTTGGCTTGCTCGCTTCTGGGGTCTTGCTGTAAAATATGGTAATGAATTTTTATAATATTGCATTCTCTTGTTTGCATTGTTTTTTTTGGGGGGGGGGGGGGGGACTTAAATCAAGGTTCAATTCTTTTATCTGGGACTGGTCATTTACAAAATCTTGATGGTCAACATTTTGCAAAATTCCTTGTGCCTGTTCATATTAAAGTACCTTTAATTTTTGGCATGTTTCTTCCTTGGTTTATAGGAATATGTGCTGATATTGCACAGTCCAAGCATGAACATTGGTCTTCTCTAGCTCTTCCTTTTGAAGTTGTGATTTCTGCGGGGCAAAGGCTAAGGAGGAATCTTGGAACAAAAGTGAGTGAACTTTTAAAATTTTGACCTTACTTGTTTTCTCTCCTAAAGTAGCTAAAGTGAAGTCTAATTAAATTGCATCACCAAGGTGCTGACGATCCGGATAGGAGTAAAGTTGTTCGTGACTTGAGTGATCTCACTGGGGAAGGAAACATTGAGAGCATGCTCTCAGTTGAAATGGGTTTAAGAGAACTTGCTTCTCTAAAGGTTCTCCTTTAACATCATTTAAATTAATGCTTGATTGCTTGCTTCGTTTTTTTTTTTTTTTTTTTTTTAATGTTTAAAACTACCCTTTGGTCATTTTAGATGCTAAGAAGCACATTTTTAAGCCATTACTTTTTTAAAACATGGATTCTATTCTAGCACCCATAAATTTGTATCGTGTTCTCTTTGGGTTGAAATTTGATTTCCTTCTTATCTTTTGGATTTTTTTGGGGCGTATTATTAATCCGTTTCCTCTCCACTGAATTCATTTTGATAAAAATTCATACTGTAGGTTGAGGATGCTGTTGTGCTTGCCTTGGCCCAACACAGACGTCCAAATTTGGTTCGGCATGCCATTTTAGGTATCTTAATTTAGTCATTCTCTAATTTATTTATCAATTTTTAATATTTTAATTTATTTTGTTTTCCGAAATCTTATTGTACTGTTCTTTTTTCCCTTCTCTGTTCATTTTTTTGATCTGCATTTGGTCTGGTTTCAGGCTGTATTGTAGTTTTATTAACCACTAATATTTAGATCTAGACTTGTAAGCTGAAAACCTTGACCCTTTAATTGTTCTGAAGCTTCTTAGATTGCAAGATGAACAAGATCAAGATTGTAATAACCTTAGAATTAAATATTCAAGCCAATTTCGTGTTACTTTGTATTTAATTTGGTCCATTGATCTTAATATGGTTGAATAATGTGCATGTTTCTTGTTATTTTTTTTCCTTCCAGATTCCAAATCACATGGTGACCCCAAATTTGTGGAAGCATTTGGTAAGAAACAGAAGTCATTGCTCACCTCAGTGTTTAATTTAACGCGCTTTTACTTGTCTAAAAAGTTAAAGGTCATATATTAGACATCTGTGTTGTAAGCTGTGTTTATCATCTATGGTTCAGTGTTCATATGTCAGTTGCATATTCTTTTCCAGAGTAAATTACTATTCCTTCCTTTGTTCCAATTGCATGACCCTCTTTGTGTATGAAATTGTTTACAAACTCTCATGAAACCTTCAAAGTGACCAAAATAACCTCTAGGATAATATTGCTTTCTAGTATTAAATTATTAAAAATATAAACCACTTCCAAGTGTATATCTCAAACCTTTATTTCAATATCGATATTCTTTGTTGTGTTGAAAATAATAAATTTAATTTATTCTGAATTTTTTTATTAAACCATTAGAATGCTAATGAATAATTGTGAATATTATATTTAATACAATGTTATTGTTGAAATTACATATTATTAATTATATGTTTAATTTGTTAAACTTAGATGATTATTTTGTGAGATGGTCTTTGTTTATGCTCCTTTGGTTCTAAACGTGAGACCTATTTTGTAGTGTAAATTACACTACAAAATAGGTTTTTTTTTAGGACCAGAGGAGTAATAATATTTCATTACATTGTCAAATGATTTTACAGTTGGTTAAATTTAGAAAAGTAACTTCTATATCAATCATGTTATTTGAGACTAGTGACAGATGAGATCATTTTTGTCAAAATAAATATAATTGTAGCTTATGGGGTTGTTGCGGGTGAGGGAAGGGTAACACAGTTTTTGGTTTTCAAGGGAAAGACGTGGTTTCTTAGAACAAGGGAGAGTGATATGTAATTTGGACATCCTTTGGGGGCGGGGAGAGAATTTAACCTTTCCCAATCTTTATTTGAAGTTGCCTGTCCTTATAGTTGCGTGCCTGGCAGATGACCGAGTGAGTCTGATGATTTTCTGTTATGCTATTTCCTACAGAACTAAGTGAAGAGGAGGCAGAAGATGTTCTTTTCAAAGAGGTCAGTTGCTTGCTCTTGGTCCAAGTTCTGCGAAATTGTAACATGCATACCCATACGATGTTATAGCATATTCACTTTTGCTTCCATTTGTCCCGTTCCGTATTTATTACTCCTTCAGTTCTAAATGCAGGACTTATTTTGTAGTGTAAATTACACTACAAAATGGGTCTTACATTTAGAACTGAAGGACTATATAGAAAGGATGGGAATGTCCAATATGATTACAGTGGCATGCATGTCGATATAACAAAATTTGCTATCAATTATTTTGAGATTTCTGTTTTTATTTTTGTTTGTCCCCCCCCCCACCCCCACCCTCTGTTCAAGGCAGATCTACTGATTAGGAAAGCCAGTTATTGTTTTGTTCATTTGTTGTGTATTTATCCATCAAGCTCAATCCTGTGAAGCGAATACTTAAATGAAGGTTCCTGAGGAGCCATAGGTTTTGGCCTGATTTCATGTTAGATTCGTTTATGAAATAGAGTTTGCACGCATAACTTAATTTGTAAATTCTAAATATTTGCAGGCATGGCTAACTTATTTTTGGAGAAGAGCCTTAGTTCATGGTGTGTAGAAGAGGATATTGCAGAAGAGCGGCTTCAGTTTTGGATTACCCGCAGTGGGCAGTCAACGACTTCACATGATGCTGTTGATGGTAAAGCCTTGTCAATCTTATAATCTCTTTAGTTGTTCAGAGAGCACTTAGTGAGTAGAATTAAATGTAAGTAGTATTGTGACACGGTCATTTTTAAATTGTGCGAATTGGCCAAATGTTGTCGAATGAAGCTTCTACAGATATCAGTGTCATTTTTCAAGTTGTATCATTTATCCTACTTATGCGATTGAATCCGACACAAAAACAGAATTGCTTATATTGGTTATTGAATTGCTGACTGTTTATGAAATCAAGGGGCAGCAGAGTCTTACTTATTTAGTTGTGTGAGTAGCACTAAATGACAGTGAGTTGAAAAGAAATAGCATCTGCTTTTGGCTGATTGCGTCATTCTAAATTTCAACACAAATGGATTGGTTAAAGATGTGTGCTTATATTTGTTTGTCAACTTTTAAGTTCATTTCACTGTTTATTTCAGTTGAGCGAGGTTTGTTTGAGTTGAGAAAGCTAGGGATAGAACAACAGCTTTGGGAAGCATCTCGAAAAGAAATTGATCAGCTTTCAGGATCCATGGTTGCTAATCATAAGCCTACCACGGAGTCGGAAGCCTCGTGGTGATTTTGGTAGCCTTTATTTGTTGATTGATTATTTGTTCCATTTTGTATATGCGTTTTCCCGCCTACTTCCTGCACGCCGTGCCGTCACCTTTATATTTGGATCGCATACAAAAGAAAGCAAGGGCAGGTACATTACAAGAGAGACGCTGTGAATTGTATTTTTGAAACTGAAAGATATGATCATTCTTTTTGTTCACTTTTGCACTTCCAGAAAATCCAATCAGCTTTGTGTGAAATTAAAATTTCACAAGTATGGTGGGTTATTTTTTTCCTGTATATTCCCCCCCCCCCCCAAAATATTTTCAGTTATCTTGGACCTTCTACCCAGACATATTATTTTACCTAGAAGTGAAACAGCAAGTTGGGCAACATAATAATCGTAATGTTTCAGTTACCCGTTTCTTCGAGTGCTTTATGGTGCTGAGCTGCAATCGTTGCGGTGTTCTAAATAATAACGTGCGAGGAGCTAAGATTCCCCTAGTGAGGTATATGGATGAAAGGCCGGCCCTAGTTATGCGTCTCCTCTTTTGAGGTAGTCAAAGCCCTGTCGTATAAATGCTTGCGTTCCCGTCCCCCTTTCATTCTTTTAATCTATACTTCCAATCCTTAAGGTTGGCGAATTTGATTTGTTTTCTTTCACATTTCATTTCCCGCTCTAAATTATAACCATTCATTAGGGTTACAGAAATAGATCTACGCACAGTTATTCATGTTTGTCAGTTAACATATTTAACTGGAAGCTAGCAATATGCTGTGTGATGTGATGTCAGAGCCGTGCATTGCAGGGCACATATCGTCTCACCATCCATCTGGATAATACATATCCATTCATATTCAGTGTTTCACAAGTGGAGATATGTGGAACCCTCTGCCAGGCAGTGGCCATAATAATAATTACGATGATGATGAAAATGGTGGGAATTAATTTATAAAAGAACCCATGCTTTTAGGCTCAATATTCATAAGGAGCGTGGCTGTGTGTTTGCAGGGATTGTGGATATATAGTCAGATGGTAATGGGTATGGTGCTGAATCACGCGTAGTTTTGTTTATGTTAAAGTTAAACCCTCTTTTGTAAGCCAACCAACCCCATTGAAATGGACACTACTATTAGGGCCTGATCATGAAAAGCAGGAATGCTTCCTTATTTTATTACTAAAAGTGGATGACCTTTCTCTCCACTCTCCTTTTTTAAATTTGTCTATCTTCTACTGCACCCTCCCTATACATGAAAGAAGGTTTGCAAAAGAAACCAAAAAGGCATCCCTTTTGCTCCTTTCACAAGCTTCCAAAGCTTAGCATAACCTTCCTTCTCACTCTTCCCTCACATTTCCAACCCTGATGTTCTCTCTTTCTCCACACTCGAAAGTTGAAACCACTCCTCCATTTTCTCGTAATGGAGGCAGATGAGATATTCACTTTCCGAAATTATTCATTTTTTTTATGATAACTAATAACTACCCATTAACTCTTGAATAGCGGTAAACTCTTTAGGCGTAAAATGCTGACCTTTTTTTTTTTTTTTGTGTTCAATCTTTTGTTTTGGATCATCAGATAGATTTTTTAAACGACTCCATGAAGAAATTCAAACAAAAAAGAGAATAGTGTCAAGGTGGATTTTATTTGTTTTTTTCCCCTTTATTACATTACTTTTTAGAAAACTTGACCTGACCGATATAAAAAACATGATGAAAGACAAAGAAGAATGCAAGGGGGGGGGGAATAAAGATGCTCATTCGTTGTTGCAGAAATGAATTTCAGGTACGAAGGGGCAATATAATATGCAGAAGAGAATAAAGAAGAAGGCAAAGAAATCAGCGAGAGTAGTGCAGCTAATGATGAAAAGTCTGAAGGCCTTTTGAAAAAGCTTGGAACGTAGGGACCATTCATCTGCTTTACCACTCCTTTGAGCAGCACATAGAACAAACAGAACCACCATATAGTATCCTCACATTTGTCTCCTTATAGTTTGTTTGTTGGTTATCCACTCTTTCATCTCAAACTTTTCCTTCTCATGGACCAAGCCACGTTAAAGAAGATCAAACCCTATATTCATATTCATATTTATAGAAATCTATTTTTCACTACCTATCGTCATCTGTTGGACAGAGGGTGGTCCATCTATTTTTCACCTACCTATCGTCATCTGGTTGGACAGAGGGTGGTCCATTATTAAATGAGAAGAGTGTCCGGTTTTCTTCAGAATGGGTCCATAGGGATGCAAGCCAAAACATAAACATCCATAAATTGCGCTATTTGTTGAGGAGGAGGGAGTAAATACAGCTATTATGTGAGAGTGTGTGAACTGTAAAAGCGATGATCAGTGAGAGGCGTGGAAGGGCTTGAAGGCACTGTGGGGAACATGTGGCTCCATTCACATCTCCCTCTGATTCTCATGTGAGCTTGTTCTCTCCAAAGGTATAGAGACTTTTTTGTGGGGGCTGGATTCAACATTTTAAGTCCTCACTCCCATCAATTATTGACTTCAATGCACTCCTCTATTATTCACTCTACCTTATAATTTAATTTATAAGCAGTGAACAATGCGGTTAGTCTTCTCACAAAATACTACCTTATTTTCAGATATTGAGTGAGACTTTCTGATTAACAATCTAACAAAAATTTTACTTTTGATAGAGCGCGATTCATGTAACCTGTCTATTTAATGGAATAGACTTGTTGTAAAAAGAAGGTATATTGAAATATGAAATCCAGACATTAGTTATCCCAACAAAACTCAGTTATGAGTATACATCAAGGAGAGTCCCATTAAAAAGACTAATAGGCTTTCTGATGAGATTAGATAGATCCTAAAATTATTTGCTATTCGTGTCATGGCCTCACGGGACAAAAGGGGTTTCTTAGAAGAAATGAAGCTAAGGCGTCACACCATAATCATTGAAAGAAAAAAAGCTTTTCACAAGTGGTCAAATAGAACAAGTTCATCCCAACATAAGTACAGAAAGAAGGGTCTTTAACCACCATGACCAAAAAGTTAATTAGATGTGGGAACTAAACTTTCATTAAAACCCCTCACATTTGGTTCTTTTAGCAGCACTAAGTTGTGGCCCTATACAAGACCTTGACCCCATATCATATTCAATTCTTAGGAATAACAGATTCTTTGAATGAAAGGAAATAAAAGAACGGAAAGTCTTTTTTATATGTATATGAAAAATCGATTTTTTCCAAGGTCAATGAAGCCATTGAGTGCCCTTTAGATTTATCAAGCGTACCTGACAAGTCACTAATGTATTTCATGTTTTTAAAATACAATGAATTAGGATTTCTCTATTTTGCTTGGAATCTTCACACTGAAACCACTTATTATTGTCAGTAAGCAGATCTTGCTCGTACTTGTAGAGCAAGAAAAGTTGATCAATCAAACAAATATTGTGGAAAACCACGAAAAAAACTGTCCATCCCTCTTTACAAACTCCAAAAGATCCTAGCAAGTACTCTCTCTCTCTCTCTCTCCCCCCCCCCCCCACGGACACCCACAAATATTTTAATTTGATATCTGGTTTCGCGTTTAAAAGACCAGTAACTAGTCATTTTGAGTTTTGACACATTTTCTGAGAAAAGCAAAGTTAATGCTGTAAAGCCATTTTCAAAGGAAGAGATACTCCGTTCTGTTTTGTATAGTCAAAAGGGATACAAGGTGACTGTGGTTGGTGAATCAGCAGGGAAAGAACAAAGGAAAAAATGGATTCTATGCTCTGTAATTTCTGAGAATATTTTCAGGTTCCTTTCGTATCAGTGGCAGCTGATACCTCATTTTAAAAGGGTGTTTGGTAAAAATCAAACTATAATTTTAAAAATACTTTTACGGTATACGAAATAAATATGTGGAGGAAATTGACTCATTTTACAAAAAAAATGTTTTTTAAAAGCACTTGTTAGAGTTACCAAATACCCCTTATTCGTTTTCATAATACCAACTTGCATGCTGACTTGGCCTGCCTCAACCTCAAATATTTTGAAAAAATGTTTAACTTCAAATACATATCCTTACATATGAAATAGGTATAAAGTTAAACATTAAATCATTATGCTAAATGAAATTCAGGGACAATTTTGTTATATAATCATGAAAGATTAATGATGGATGCGGACAAAGAGAGTAACAGACGCAGGACACAGGGCATTACCTCTCTCCCATCTCTTTCCACACAAATTTCACCATTTTCAGGCCTGCAACCAAAAAGCTAAAACTATAATGATAATCTCAGAATAGAGAAGGTCCAGCCACCAAGAACTGGCCCCCACACTAACGCACACAAAGCCTCAAGTCAAGTCTCAACCCAATGCCCCTCCTTCTCACTGCTATTTTAAATACTTCATCTGATCTCTTTCTTTGTTGCCTGTTTCCCTCGCTTTCTCCTCCTCTCTTCTTTTGTGAAACAATGGACTGCACAACATGGAATAACTTAGCTATGGCTCTAGTGTTGCTTCACTTGAGCTTAATTATGCCCGTCTTCTCACTCTCGTCTCACCCAGATAGGATCCTACGGCTTCCCGGACAACCCCACGTACGTTTCCAACACTACTCAGGATACGTCACAGTCGATGACAAGAAACATAAAGCTTTGTTCTACTATTTTGTTGAATCTGAAACCGATCCTGCTTCTAAGCCTCTTGTTCTCTGGCTCAATGGAGGTCTGGAATCTCTCAGATGAATCAGAATTTTAAATGAAATATGTTAGGCAATGTGTGCATGAGCTGATTCCTCTTTTATGCAGGACCTGGCTGTTCTTCCCTTGGGGTTGGAGCATTCTCTGAAAATGGACCCTTCAGACCAAATGGTGAAGTTCTGATTAAAAATGATTACAGCTGGAACAAAGGTACTCTGTCACGGAATCCCATTTTTCATTTTGACTGAAGTATTGGACAAAATTATTTCTTTTTCTCATTGGGATGATTTATATTGTGTTGTAGAGGCAAACATGCTATATTTGGAGGCACCGATTGGAGTGGGATTTTCTTACGCTAAAGACGGATCTTATACGGTGGACGATAACGAAACTGGTATCTTCTTCTGCTAATGTGAATTACTTTACAAACATTTTCCCATCTTTTGGCACAATTAAGGTTTCTCTTTAGAAAAGCTCTTTTTCTAATCTTATCATCTTCGGACTGAGGCACGTACAATATGAATGTATACTGCTAAGGCTTTTTGAAAAGTTAGAGAGACAAAACAGTGTTTAATGACGAAATTCTTCTCAACTTTTTTCACGGCACTTTCCAATTTCCATTATTATTTCTCCTGTTAATTCCAACGGTGGCATTAGTAATGATGTACTATTTATTTCAAACACGACAGCCCGTGGGTACTCGAAACAGTCATTATTTTGTCATCTGAAACTCTGTTTTTGATTTCTTTAGCCAGGGACAATCTCATGTTTCTGAAACTCTGGTTCAACAAGTTCCCTCAATACAGGCGAAGAGATTTCTTTCTTACTGGGGAAAGTTATGCAGGTACCTTTGTTACTTCCACCAATCATTTCTGGAATCCTAATCCCGGTTCCAATTTTTTTTTTTTTTTTTTAAAAAAACAATTCCTTCTCAATTTCAGGGCATTATGTTCCTCAACTTGCAAAGCTCATGATTGACCTCAACAAGAAGGAAAAGATATTTAATCTTAAAGGCATAGCTGTAAGTAACGTACGCTTGAACTATTTGAACTTGAAACTTACATAATGCCAATAATATCAAAATGGTTCTTTACTTCGCAGTTGGGTAATCCAGTTCTAGAATACGCCACGGACTTCAACTCACGGGCCGAGTTCTTCTGGTCGCATGGATTGATATCAGATTCCACATACAGAATGTTCACCTCAGTGTGTAATTATTCTCGGTACGTCAGTGAGTATTATAGAGGCTCAGTTTCGCCTCTTTGTTCAAAGGTTATGAGCCAAGTAAGCACAGAAACAAGTAAATTCGTGGACAAATACGATGTGACACTTGATGTCTGCATTTCCTCAGTTCTTTCGCAGTCCAAGGCCATTTGCCCTCAAACACAAGTCAGTCTTCTCTCCCACACCTTCTCTTCAAACTGGATTGCTCATTATGATTTAAGACTTGGAATTTTTGTTTTGCAGCAACGAAATGAGAGGATAGACGTATGTGTTGATGACAAAGTTGTAAATTACCTGAACCGAAGAGATGTTCAGGAGGCACTTCATGCCAAACTTGTTGGAGTTCGCAAGTGGGATGTCTGCAGCAAGTAATCTTTTTTCTCAGCCAAAAATCTTGCCTCTGCCTGCTTTCACTCTTCTCAATAGGAATGTACCCATTTCTCCAACTAATATATAATTCATGTTCATTTAACAGCGTACTGGACTACGATATGCTCAATCTGGAAGTACCTACGCTTCCTATTGTTGGGTCAATAGTCAAAGCTGGAGTCCAAGTCTTAATTTACAGGTAACCAGAAATAACTAATTTTTCTTTTCTTCCTACAGATCTTGTCGTGTGTTTTCGATCTGGACATGATCATGTCTTTCATTTTGTGACTACAGTGGAGATCAAGATTCTGTAATTCCACTAACTGGTAGCCGTACCTTGGTTCAGAAACTAGCAACGCAATTAGCACTAAATACCACTGTTCCTTACAGAGTATGGTTCCACGGTCAACAGGTACATGCATACTTGAGTTTACAATATGCTTTCTTTAAGCACATTTTATACTCAGCACAAAGCAAACTAGTGCAAAATAAACTGATATTGGTTTGTGAATCTATGTGGGGTTAGGTTGGCGGGTGGACTCAAGTTTATGGAGATAATAAGCTGTCATTTGCGACCGTAAGAGGGGCTTCCCATGAAGCTCCGTTCTCGCAGCCTGAGAGATCACTAACGCTGTTCAAGTCATTCTTGCAAGGGAGGCCTCTACCTGCTGATATTTTCTGACACCGTATATGTTAATGTTTTTAAGTTTTTCTCTGATTTAAAGTTCGAGGTTGTAATTAAGGCAGTCGTTTCATAGTTATTATTATTGTTATTGTCATTATTATTATTACTAAAGCGATGTGTTAACTGTGCAGTATGTCGAAACAAGAATGTAAAGCAGTGAGAGTTTTTTATTTCTCGTTCAGTTTCCTTCCCCAATAGTAGTTCGTACGTGTTGTTAAAAGGGCTTGCTTGTTTTGCTTGTTCGGCTGTCACATGTAATAATGCATCGTTTAGACAAAAATAATGTGAAAGTGTATGATCGTTCTCTCCCTTTATGCTGCCTTCCGTGCAAATATCTATCCCATTGTTTTAATTCATTTGAAATTTGTATGATTCAAATTTTTGTTATAGCTATATGATATTTGATATTAGTAATTTAAATTTGAGTGTTATCAAACTAAAATGAGATTAACTCTCTAATCTAGGTATAATATAAGAAAAATTACTAATTTTAAATTAAAATAAAAACCAACATCAAGTCCTGTAAAATACTGATAATAATTAGAATGTCTCTATTTTTTTCTTATGAAATAAAACATACTTTAATTTTATCAGTCTAACAAAAAGCAAGACTGTACTTGCTTTCAACTAAAATTGTTGATTTTCTTTATCCACGCCTGATTCTACCTTTATGGTTTAAGATGGTCCAAATGCCAATACAAATCATTTCTAACTTTACATAGATCCATTTCGTCTAAATTCTTTTATTTTGAACACACAAACAGAAAAATTCCAAAGGCAAATTTTTCCTTGCAGACTTATTAAAGCCCAACCATAGCTTTATATACATCTATCCGTTCTCAAGGTTTATTATCGACCAAGGTAAAAATATGCTCCCAACAAGGTCTTCAAATTGAATTGTCTTTCATATGCAAGAGAACGTGGCTATGTGTACAATCCGTTCACTCTTTTCTCTACACCTTACCTTTGGCTTTTATGAGGAGGATCATGAAGCCGTAGGGCTGTTCATTACATATCTACATCAGCATTATTATTAGAAGATTGATATGAAGGTTCAAGTCAGAAGGTGCATGCCCTATCTTTGTCAAATGCAAAGAGAATAACGTGCCATCCATGACAGAACACGAAGAGGACTTGTTATATCAATTTTGGAATCTGAAAGATGATACTACCTCCTGTCCTTAATATAAGACCCTGTTTGACTTTTTATTTGGTCCTAATTATAAGACCCCAATCCATTTTGTCTCTCATATTTATGCATTTTTTCTCAAGATAGTCCTTCTAATAATGATAGTTCTAGCCAATACACTTAATTAGCAAGGATATTTTAGGAATGACAACACTTATTTATTACAAATAACTAACTTAACTTACTTCTTTAATCTTTTCAAATAAGTCAACTGAGTCTTATAATTAGAACCGGAAGTAATATATAGCAGTAGTTAACACTTGGCCTCCATCTAACACGCTTTGCAGGAAATAGTGTAAGACATGCTCTGGTTTTCTGAACTCTGAATCCCAAAAGTGCAAGAATCTCACTCGCCTTAATCAGCAGTCAACTTCAGGCAACTATTTCTCCTGGCTTTCATATATCCCATCCCATTCATGTACTGCTCAAGCACGCACGCACACGAGTACTCTGTTTCCGGCCAAAACACCCCCCTCCTTTTTTTTTTCCTTGATTGTGCTTTCTTTCGCCTTCTGCCACCAACTGTTTACATACAACAGTTCTCTGTTTTTTCAAATCTTTTTGAAAGACAACATCTCCCTTCCACTTTGTCGAACTGTGCATCAAATTATCCATTTTAGCCCACTCAAACACTTAAACATATTAATATCAGACTTGAATCTAGAACCTCATCTAAGTGTGGCGATGACGCTGTCACTTAGGCAACTTACTGTTAACACTCAACAGTGTGTTCGCCACATCAAATGGTCTGAGATTAATCAAAGACAGGGTCAAGATTTAAGTACAAGAATGTTAAAGATTAAAATGGTTTTTAGAAATCTTATATGAGACAAAAATATATAATATACTTATGTAATATATGAAGACAATTTCATAATAAATATAAAGTGTAATAAGCTTATAAACACCTAATAATAAGTTCATATAAATTAATAAAATTAACTTAAATTAGTTGTTTCGGTAAAATATTAAAATTATCGTCAATAAAAAAGGTTTAGTTAAGTAGTTGGGTAATTTTATAATTGACTAAGTATCCTAAATCAAAAGGAATCAACAGTTTAACACTTGATATATTTTAACCAAAACGTATTATCTTACTTTGACCAACAAAATTTGAATCTGCACCGTCCCACTACCCAAAAATACAAGCTCGCGTCCCTCTTCCATAACTATACATTGTTGCATGATCGTTCTGTAGGGAGGGGAAAAAAAAAAAAAACGTTGTCGCATGAAAACTTCGAATTTGTATTGATAATATGAGTTTAAGAGAAATAAACACGTCGTTGTCAGAAAAAAGAAGAAAGAAAAATAAACACGTATTTAATAATACACATTATTCGAAAAATAAATGTTACAGAGCGCGAGAGTCTCCACCAAGACATAATATTTTAATCTTCGCGAAAGAAATTAAAAGCATCCAAATATGATTAGTTCAGGATATTGCTGCTAAAATACAAATCTCGCATGATGGAGTGGTCGACGTAGTCGTTTCGCTCTCGAACCAAAATCTTACCGATTCTTGCTCTCTCTATCTCGTGGTCTCTAAATTAAGCGAACTTCTTCGGCTTCAATTCCGTGCAATTTTCTCATCTCTCACGAACAGATCGACTCTGTGTGCAGCAAATGCCAAGAAGAGCACAAGCAGGTTTACATCTTTACCACCCTAACCTTCCGTTTCGTCTAGGACTGGCAATCCAAAGATACATGAAGATGAACAACAATGACGACGCCGATGATATATATAATCGCATGAATGTAGAGTGATCATATCACGTCGATCAATTAAATACCGTCACCTTACCTGTAATATGTTTTTTTGGCAACTTTCACTTATCATATGTGGGATTTGCAGGGTACTGACAGAGAAGAGGAGCCTAAGGCGACGCTACCTCTTGACGCTACGTCTCGAGTCTGCATCTTACTCGGCTGACTTCGATTTTCCAACTCCTGCGGTTTTTTTTCGGGTCTATATACATACGAAACATCTTAGTCCGATAGACACATTAGACACAATACCGAAGTTTAAATTCAATTTGAACACTGCGTATTTTGTTGCTTTGTTGAATTTGTTTTCGTCTCATGTCACGTATCTGTGTTCTTGCACGTCTTCCTTTAAATCTGGAGCTCACATTGCGTCGTGGCTGGGGGAATGGGCTATGCAGGTGTTTTATATGTTGGGAGATATCACGTCAGGGAGACGGATGTCTGGACTTCACGGAATGGCTGGACTTGGTCCGCAAGAGAAACGCCATGTATCGCTCCTCTGGCTCTTCCCACAGCTATTCGAGGCCCCTTGATCCTATGCCTGCTTCTAGGTTACTGACTTTTTCCTCCTATTTTTTCCTCTATGCTCATTCATAGTTTTATGTAGTGTTACTTTGTGAGGTTCTGTTTCTCTAATGTACGTTTTATCCGATAATCATCATCGTAATATTTGTTTTCGCTGACACGTTGAAGCAACCAGAATTTATTGACGATGCCTATCATTTTGTTTTGTTTCCTTCGATGAACAAATCAGCTTCCAGCTAGTACTTTAGACAGGAGTGAGTGAGGGGAGAGGTGCATGCAATGCAACCGAGCTACCATTGTAATGTGCTTTTAGAGGTGACCTTGTTATACTAATTTTTCACTCAGTGCTGGAGAAGCAAAATGTGATACTCTTCGCGAGGAAACAACAGAAATCAATCTGTACGAAAGGCTTGGGAAAGCTGCGATGCTGGATGTTGAATCGAGCTCCTTTTCCTGGGATGGGCTATCTTCAGTGCATCATGTTGAATACGGCAGCAGCAATGACCATTCTGAGGACGACATGAACAAACCCCTCGAGGTATCGTCATCTTCTGTGCTGTTTCATGTGCAAAACAAAATGTGTGCTGAATGTATGGATCTCCTTTTCCAACCTTTCAATCAGTTTCATTCATTTAAGCATAAATTGATCCTGCTACTTCTAGCTTAACCCTTAGTGACGGATAATGGGAGAGAAGATGATTTTGAGAATGCTCATAATTGTTCAAATTACAATAGATATTTGTTCCTAGTTTAGCTTTGTTCAATATTTCAGCGGGTGCTTCAACGCATGGCATCAATGCCTATCCCGTTTATTTATCTGGGTGTAAGAAGCAGTTCCAATATATATGATTACGTTTTAGGGAAATACCATACCAGCCCTTTCTTTCTTTCTTGTGATGCCAACGTAGAGAAAAAGATATGTCTGTGAGGTTTTTAAATTTCGTAACTTCTGCCTCAATTTCTCCTCAGTTGTGTACACGCAGGTAACTGTACATTCTGGAGGAGTTGTCTTCTTTACCTTTTTCCGTCGCTTGGGGAATGATGATACTTCTCCAAAGGAGGAAGCAGCTGTTATAAAGATGTCATCAACAAGAATGGCAACACAATCTGAACGTCTTGGTTATGAATTTGCCAAGTGGTTGGGAGTCCGAACTCCACAGGTGCGCCCTTGACTTCATCAGCATGCCTCCGGCTATCAGGCCATACCAGATTCATTCTCTCTTGTTACTTGGAATATGCAGGGTAGAGTGATTCATAATACCAGCCCTGAATGGCTCCAAATAAAGGATGCAGCAGAAAAAGCAAGAGATGCGGCTAATTCTGAAGGAGATGAAACTGGTAGCATGACATGTTCAGAACTTTTGGAAGCACTTGAGCTGAGCCGATGCTTCTTTTTTATGGGGTATGATCCAAAAGTGGGTTTGAGTACAACTCGGTCTCATAATGTCACCATGTATATAGCTCTGCTTGCTTTGTCAATTTCAATCACTCTAGCATAAATGGAGTAGACATGGTTAATTTGTCATTTGCAGAATTTTTCATTTAACTTCAATGCGCCCAGTGTACTGACACCGTGATTCATGAAGTTCACGTAACTAAACCAAATCCCCTAAGCCCATTTCCTTGGGAAATAACTGAGCTAATATGATATTCTTTAATCTCTTCTACAAGATAACTTTCAACTGATTGTTCTAAGGGTTCAGCATCTTCTTGCAGCTACGTACATGGGTCACCTTTACTTGAAAGTTCTAGTGCTTTCGACTCGCAGGAATCAGTAGAAAGAACATCAGCAGCTCTTGGGAAGGTATTGATGCTAGACCTTGTTATCCGAAACGAAGATAGGCTCCCCTGCCGTGAGCTTAGATGGCGTGGGAATTCTGCGAATTTATTGTTGACTGAAAAGGTTATCTCCGCAAATGCTGATACACTAGAGGAAGTTTTTGATTCTGCAATGAATCTATACAAACCGAGGGTGATCAGGGCACTTCAAAAAGAAAGAATGTCAACTTCATCAGATAGCAGATTGTGTTCTCATAACCCTGGACTGTTATCACCGGTTTCTGATATTTCCGAGATGGCCGAATCACCAAGATTGTCTAACATGAGCCTTCGAAGCCACACATCAAGTGAAGCACTCTTTACTGACTTCAACATTGTGGCTATTGACTCTGGTGTTCCCCGCCGACCACCTGCGGGTAAACGTGCAATAGATCAAGCTATTTATCCTAAATTGGTTGAGTTAGTGCTCAATAGTTCTGAGTTTGCCTCCAATCTCTTACATGATATAACTGGAGGTAAATTAGGATCTCCTTTGCCAGAAGTCGCAAAGTCAACAATTGATGTTTATTCAAATGACATGGCATCAGCAGTTCATGCATTCCGTAGTGGTTTTCGTGCTGCTCTTAGGGATCTGCAGGGATTCCATATCTTCCTATTAACACTTCATCAGAAGCTTGATAGCTTGTTAAGATCATTTATGAACATTATAAGCAAATTATCAGTGGGGGAATTAGACAAAGAGGATTCACTGGTTTCACCTGACACCACTTCACAGGCAGCTGGAGGTGGAAACTGTTCATCTCCAACAAGTAGAGAGAGGTTTGTTAATGACAGCGTTCCAGATTTTGATCCAGAGTCACAAAAAACGTCTCAAAGGGCATCATGTTCTGGCAGTAGAGATAGCTCTGAATTTTCTGCTATGACAAGAGAAGGCTGGCATGGGAAGTTCTATAAAGGAAGCGGGGAACTACTTCGAAGTCTCCGCTTGACAGCAAAGCTCCGAGACTTCCATAAATTTGCAAAGGTTGGTTTTGTCATTATCAACTTTGTATGCTAGTCCCATGGTTGTGGTGTTGCTGACAGAATTTTCCAAATATCTGGTTTGAGGGTATTTTTCAATATATCATAAATAAGCAGTCAATGGCATGTTCGTTTCATTATACGTTATGAGACTTCTTAAGCTAGCTGTGTCTTTGCCATATGGAACATAATTTTTACCTTATATTTAACACTCTTATCATAATTTCCAGGTCGATGCAGAGTCTAACAAAGAATTGGAACAGTGGAATGAAATGCTGAGGAACGATGCTGTCAAGCTGTGCCAGGAAAACAATTTCAATACAGGATTTTTTGAGGGTAGTGATAATTATTGTGTCATTGATGCTTACGAACTGAAGGTTTCTATCTTTGACTTTGATCTACCTAACAGAAATATTTTGGGATTTCTTTCATTCACACAAAGGATCTGCCCGTTACATTCAGGTCAGACTTGAGCATATTCTTGAGAGAATTGCATTGATATCTGAGGCTGCCAATTCAGAGAAACCATCCCGTGTCACAAATAATCTGTTCATTGGTGGAGCACTGGCTGCAAGATCTTTGCACACACTTCAACAATTGGGAATCACACATATTATGTGTTTGTGTGCGAACGAAATAGGACAATCAGATTCCCAATTTCCTGATCTATTTGCATACAAAAATTTCTTTGTAAGTCATGTTATTTTCTTTTTTCTTATTCTATCTGTCTTATTTGTATAAGCTCAGCATTTTTAAAGAACATAAATAGTCTTTGGTCACGCTTATCTTCCTCATGCGGGGTGAATGACATTCATTTTGCATTAGAGGACCCTAGACTTGTGTTCATCTCTCTCCCTCACTGTAATTACTTGTAGTTTTCGATGATAATTTAGCTTGTTAATTCTACAACCGTGAATAAAACATAAATGTGTTAAACCAATGGCAGATTTGGGAAATGACCAGGGTAATTCCAGTTGAAGCTAACCATTGATTTGGATTGCTAGGTCAAATTCAAATGCAAGTCTTGCCTCCCCCCCCCCCCAAAAAAAAATCACAATTGCTCTAAATTTCAATCCCCTTGGACGATAAAGCATCTTCACTCTTGAGTCTTTGACACCGCAATACACTAACATAATTTTATCTACCAGATAAGGCCAGCTTAAAGATTCTTTTGGCTTAGTCATGTGATGTACTTCTCGATTTGGTTTGCTGTACTCTTTGTACTTGATGTCAATGAGATACCCTACATAAAATTTTTTCCACCAGTATTTATTCATATGATTGCTTCTTTTCTTCTTGCCCTCCCACTTTAACAGGTATGTGACGACGAAGATTCCAACATTAGCAGTATATTTGAAGAAGCTTGTGATCTAATAAGTGATGTTGAAGAAACAGGTCAGAGAATTTTAGTCCATTGCTTTGAAGGGAAAAGCAGAAGCGTTACATTGGTCCTTGCTTACTTGATGCTCAGAAAGTAAGTCAGAATGTAGATTCTACAATCCTAGTTGTAGTAAACACTGGTTCTAGCCAACTGATAGGCATTGATTTGATGGTTTTAACAAGAATTTATTAGATGAAATTAGTGCCAAAATCAGAAAATACCAAAATCTATAAACGAAAGGAGAATCTCCGATACAAAGACAAAAGGAAAAGGAATTCGAGTAGTCTGACTTAGACTGCGTTACATCTATCTAGAAAGCAAAGTGCATAACTGATCAAATAAACTATTAAACACTATTTGAAGATGAATATGTGCCGAAAGCAATCCTGGTTAGTAGGCAAGGACCTCACTCTCACTTTTTCACTATTGTTTTGACCCTCCCACTAGCTCTATAATTCTGCTACAAGTGATCAAGGGCTGTCTGTCTCGTGCGACCCTGTCCGCAATCCATCAAAGCCAATTAAACCGGTGCCTTTGTTGTTAGAAGTAACCGAACTAAGCTTACTGAAGTACCATATGTATTACCAGGTAGAACTTTTTTGGCCGCTGAGCTAATTTCATTGAGCTGAAAGGAATCGAGACTGATCTGATTTATAGTCATCAATAATTGTGAGAACAGTACAGGTAGTGACTTCTGGTACAGTTTTCAAACCGAGAAGCTTCTGTGGTGCAGAAAATACACCTTACTTGAAGCATGGAATGCTATGAAACGGGTCCACCGGCGAGCACAGCCAAACGATGGTTTTGCAAAGATTTTAGTGGAACTCGATCAGAAGCTGCATGGAAAAGTGTCCATGGTGTGGCAGCAAAGGAAACCAATGATGAAAATTTGCCCTATCTGTGGAAAGAACGTAGGACTAAGCAGCAGCTCTCTTAAGCTGCATCTGCAGAAATCGCACAGAAGACTATCATCAGGAAGTGTAGATAGTGGCATGAAAATGGAGATTGAGAAAGCTTTAGCAGCTTTGAAGATTAGTCGTGGTGGAAGCGTCAGTCCTACACAAAGGCAGTCTCATTCAATCACGGATGAATAGAAACCGCAACTTTTTATCTATTTGCTTAATTTATCTGGAGTTTTATTCCAAATTAATCTGACTAGTTTGACGCCCTTATTCTTATTTCCTAACATGCAGGCAGGGAAATAAAAATGTTTTTGTTAGCCATTTCCTGAATTTTGTGCACTAGCCGGGTAAAATGTTTATCCTGGGTTCGGTCGGATAAGAATGTAGCATCAAGAATGATCATGAATTCATAATGAAGGCTTCCAACAACACCTCTCTCCTCAAGGACCCGGCTAATGGGTCGCATAGAAACCTCGTGAGCATAGCTAGGTGAGGGGCGGCCGTTTTTGGGATCTTGTTCTGACAAGAAATACAGTATCAATGTTAACAATGCTTGAGGTCATACTTTCGCTTTGCTGAAAAGTGTTCGACAGCGGAGCTTGTGACTGGCTGATTATTCTTCTAGAAAACAAATAGTTATCGCAACTAACTTCTATATTATGTAAGCTAGTCGTATGATACAAATCGGGCCCCCCTCCCCCCAGGGGAGGGAGGGTTTCACATTTATGCCCTTCTGCATTTATAGCTGGAAATATTAAAATTTGACCATGATATTAACTCTTAATACAAGAATAACTTAACGAGACCTAGAGGACTAACAAAAAACGAAAAAGAAAACTACAAGTCAAGCTCCAATAATGGCATGCAAGTGCTCCTTTCCTTAAGCTTTCCTTGATTGGCTGTGCTCAGAAGTCAGACACACCTTAAAACAGCCAGAAGAAGATAAAATAGCTTTTTGTTGAGTGATGAATAAAACTATGTCTAGGGTTATAAAACAGTACAGACATCTCGGCAAAAGCAGCATTAAAAAGCCCATTCAATTTATACGGGAATAGCCTCAGGTAACGACTCGGGGGCACCACTGCTACCATTAAGGACAATCACATTGCCATCAGAATCGACATCCACTATAACAGAGTCGCCTTCTTTAATTTCTCTAGCAAGCATCTTCTCAGCCATGCTGTCCTCCAAAAGCCGCATTATAGCTCTCCTTAACGGCCTGGCTCCATAGCTAGGATTGTAACCTTCCTCAACCACTCTGTCCCTAAATCTTTCTGTCACTTGGAGCTCAATGTCTTTGGTTTTCAGTCTGTCAAAGACCTCCTTCAGCATTATGTCTGCTATCTCCTTCACTTCGAGTTTAGTGAGTTGCCTGAAAACAATCATTTCATCCAACCTATTCAAAAACTCTGGTCTAAAGTACTGTTTTAGCTCCTCAGTCACCAAGCTCTTGATGCGATTATAACTGCTATCCTTCTCATCATAATCTAGGTCAAATCCTATTCTGCGACCTCCTTTCTCAATCACACTGCTTCCAACATTTGATGTCATTATAAGAAGCGTGTTCTTGAAGTCCACGGTTCTACCCTTACTGTCTGTCAATCTTCCATCTTCCAAAATTTGAAGCATCATATTGAATACATCCGGGTGAGCTTTCTCAATCTCATCAAAGAGTACAACAGTGTATGGTCGACGGCGAACTGCCTCAGTCAGCTGACCACCTTCAGTGTAACCAACATAACCGGGAGGTGAACCAATAAGCTTGGAAACAGTGTGCCGTTCCATAAATTCACTCATATCAAGTCGAATCATTGCTTCTTCAGAGCCAAAGTAGTATGCAGCCAATGCTTTTGCCAACTCAGACTTCCCAACACCAGTTGGACCAGAAAAGATGAAGCTGGCAATGGGACGATTAGGATTCTTCAATCCAACACGAGCACGGCGAATTGCTCGACTAATGGCTTTCACTGCTTCATCCTGACCAATGACTCGCTTGTGTAGGGTCTCTTCCATCTTGAGAAGGCGATCAGATTCATCTGTTGAGACTTTCTCAACAGGAATACCAGTCCAGGAGGATACAATGTGTTGGATGTCAACTTCAGTCACAACTGGACCTTCATCTCCTGCCTCACTCTCTGCCTTGCTCATCTCCTTGCCTTTCTCTACAAGTGCTGATATCTGGGCCTTAAGATCCATTTCTCTATCTCGTAACTCTCCAGCCTGTACAGATATTCATGTAGCATCAGCCCGCTAAGTTTGGTTAAGAATCCTATGAATTTCATTGTGTAAAACATACATCAAGACAAGAAACAAACTGGAACACGGTTCTCTAAATTATCAAATAAAAAGAAAATCTAAGAAACCGCTTAAAAAAAAAAAAATCCATCCTATTTGATGGTGAAACAAAGCTCTTGCTTCTATATAATTAGCAAGATGACATCTCATCAGATCAAGACACCGGACGGGCTTCTTGAAAACTTACTTGGTGACAAAACTACACAACTACAAAACAATACCTTTTCAAAGTCCTGGTTGCGAACAGCTTCTTCTTTCTCCTTCACAATTTGTCTGACCTCTTTGTCCAGCTCTCTTGCCTCCTCAGGTAACTGAAAGTACAAATATCTCAGTTAGCTCAGTAATTTAAAGAGAATAAGCCAAAGGAAGATGCAAAATATACCTGTGCATGTCGAAGCCGGACACGGGAACCAGCTTCATCAATCAAATCTATGGCTTTGTCAGGCAGAAACCGATCACTGCAGGGAACATCATGGTTTCAACCAGAAAGACACAGCGCAAAAAGAATATAAAAAGGACCATCTAGGGACGCCAAACAAGATTGTTAAAACTCCAAATTAATATGCAAAACAAATCAGAGGTTCAAAACTGTTTGTATACTTCGAAGAACTCTGGATATAAAACCCAATTAATTGGAGGGAAAACTTCAAACACGCAACATTGATTAAATAATCATGTCCCTTGATCATTTCAGCGTTAATGGGAAGGCAAAAATGAACAGATCAGATGTAGAAAAATGGCCAACGAAATACCTGATATACTGGTATGACAGCTGTGCAGCTGATACAAGGGCATCATCAGTATAACGGAGCTTATGATGAATCTCATAACGCTCTCTAAGTCCTTTCAATATTTGTATGGTTTCATCAACAGTTGGTTCTGGAACTTTAACTGGCTGGAATCGCCTCTCCAAGGCTGGATCTTTTTCAATGTGTTTCCTATATTCATCCAATGTTGTGGCTCCAATACACTGCAGAAATAATGAAGCAGAACAATTTTTTTTTTTTAGTACAACTCCACTATAGACAACAATAAACAGTATGTATTTGACTACATCTATTCAATCTGAAGGGAAAAAAGTGCATAACCAGAACACTGTCACAGTAGGCCTATCATCATTCTGCGGTCTAAAATTCAAATTGCCCAAAATTATAACAGCAATCGATTGCCATACCAAATCATCTAAACCTGACCACATAGCAGTGACAATTGCTGGCCGCATATCTTAATTTACATTTGATATCCAACCTCTACCAATCCTATAATATATCTCATTGGTTTAACTGAGTACACACATGCACAACCAGTAGAAGGACACCGGCTAATTTACCTGCAGTTCACCTCTTGCAAGGGCGGGTTTCAATATATTTGCAGCATCAATTGCTCCTTCAGCTGCTCCTGCTCCAATTAGAGTGTGTACTTCATCAATAAAAAGTATTATCTCATCACTTTGTTTGATTTCCTCCATCAATTTCTTTAATCTCTCCTCAAATTCCCCACGATATTTAGTGCCAGCTACAAGTAGACCCATGTCAAGGGTTATAACCTATATAATGCAGAACAAAGAAATCAATTACACAAAAACAGAAAGATACTAAAAAGTAAACTACCAATAAAAATAAACATAATCAATAATAAGATACCCGCAGTGAGTATTGTTCTTCTCAATTCATATTTTACAATCATAGCCCATAAGTTTGATATAATGATAGCAAAAGGATTTAGAGACATGAAATTGCCAAGACAAACATGTCTCAACCAGACAACTGAATGACAAATAAAACTTGAGGACAGAAAGCTTTTACGTAATTCAGGTCTAATCAAGATGTTAAAACCTTAAAAAAACCTAGAATACAAAGCAACGCTCATCTTAAACTGCAACACAATTAAACAATTGAAAATAAGAGAGTGAACTCAAATTTCCTCTACAAGCGCCTAGCGAGTTTAATATGTCATATCCTACTGATAAAGAGAACAGCAAGTTCCCGAAGTTGAACTAAAACAGAAATTTCTTTCAAAAACAAAAAACAAAAAGAAACTGTACTGCAGAGATAAACTGCCTTCCACTAACCTTCTTTCCTTCAATGGTTTCAGGTACATCACCATTTGCAATCCTCTGCGCAAGACCCTCAGCAATAGCTGTCTTTCCCACACCAGGTTCTCCAATAAGACAGGGATTGTTTTTAGTACGACGACCTAAAATTTGAGTGACACGTTCAATTTGTGGCTGCCTTCCCACAACCGGGTCCAATTTTCCCTAAAAGGGGCCAAGGAAACTATTAATGATTTCACATGGTGAAGTATCATATAGAATCCGTCATGAAAGAAACTATCAAATACCTCCTCTGCCAACTTGGTCAAATTGGTACCATACTCCTCCAGAGTTGGCATCTTGTTGCTACTGCTTCCAGGGCCAACAGTAGCAGTTACACTGTCTGCACTCTCACCAACCATGCGAATAACCTGTGTTCAGCCAGAGGAAATTTAGATGATTGGCACAAAAATTCAAATAATTTAAGCATTTGTGTAAAATATAGCCAGCCGGAGAAAAGAAGAAATGAAGACTTGGTACTGACCTGCGTGCGGATATTAGTAGGATCAGCACCCAGGTTCTCGAGAACACGTGCTGCCACACCTTCACCCTCACGAAGGAGACCCAAAAGCAAGTGCTCAGATCCAATATAATTGTGACCTGAAATTTACAAGTATCAGATGCTCTGGCAAGCTAAGATAAAATATTACTCAGGCTATAATTTCTATCAATATAATGGTCATTCAAGTGAACAGAGGCTCACAGATCACCTCCTAACTCAATTTTAAACGAACTTAATGCCAGACCAGTCAAAATCTAAATCTGTACAACTATCAATTAGACACATCTGCATGGGGGAAAAAGATATTCCACTTAAATCATTACAAGTTTGTGACTCTCCAATTATGTGCGAATTTCTCTGAAGACAACCATATGGTTCATCAATTAAACCCTGCACTTCCCATATCATTACTGAAAAATCATACACTTGTCATCTTCCGATAGCAAAAACATACACCAAGAATATAAGAAACTAAATTCAAATCTAGCTCACCGGTACCAAATATAAATAAATTATTTATACCATTACAATCAAATGAAGGAAAAAAAGAGCCAAGTTAGTTATACGAGCAAAAGGAAGAAAATACCAAGTCAACGATACAAACGCCATTTCTAACATCGTAATACAAGAAAATATAAAACATAACACAATGTAAACAAAATGTTTACCAAGTTGGCGGGCTTCCTCAAGTGAGAGTTCCAAAACACGCTTTGCCCGAGGAGTGAATGGAATCTCAACGGCAACAAATCCACTGCCCCTTCCAATTATCTTCTCCACTTCCACACGTGCATCTTTAAGGTTGATTCCCATAGACTTTAGAACCTTAGCAGCAATACCAGTGCCTTCACCAATGAGACCCAACAGAATCTGCTCAGTTCCAACAAAATTGTGACCAAGCCGTCTTGCTTCCTCTTGTGCCAGCATAATTACTTTAATAGCTTTCTCTGTGAAACGCTCAAACATGGCCTTAGGTACACATCTGCTGGCCCTTGCTCGCCTTGAAGAAATTGCAATTGACACCTTTGAAAGAAAATCTTGTCCAGGTCTCAACCTAGTATCCAAATGATTAGCAGCACGTAGTCCTGAGAAACTCGAAATTCTTAGTCCAGGCACCACTGTAGCGCTCATCATTTTTACTGATCTTCTTAATCTCCCTGATGCCTTATGTTGCCCATGCCTTTGCCAAGCAACCAGCCCGGGAATATTAACTGACTGGGCCAAAAGCCTACTCATGATTCCCGCTAGCTGCAGTCGTTAATGCTGTGAGTTAGCTGACAATTAACATGCTTGAAAGCTTAAGTATCAAAATCCACTCAGAAACAGATAACAATGAAACCCACAGATTTTAACAAGCAAATGAATACAACTGTTTTCAAACTCATAATAAAGCGGAGTTCCAGAAATTAAGTTTAAAACGAACGTTATCTAATGCATATGGTGTATCAAAAGAAAAGGTGCTCCTATGGAGGGTTCAAGAGCCAGTTCAAATTCTCCTCAAAAGATATCTTTAAGATTATCTTAACAGAAGATATACTGGACCGCGTAAAGTATTCTGGTGGGAACGAAGGGAGGGTGTTGTTCTTTTTTTTAAAAGAATATTAGAAATCATTCCATGTGAAGCTAAAGAAAATAACAACACATTTCAGCTTTGTCGAAGTGTGTGAAGACGTACTGATTAAAGCCCGAGGAAAAATTTACTAATTAAAGAATACGATGTCTAGAATGCAAACTCTTGAGAGAGCTTCAATTAATCAGTAACCGTAATCGTGCAAATCACAATATAACAAACACCAGAAGCACCAATCCAGCATATATGACAGGTAGGAAAATAGTCAAATCCAAGCGAGAAAAGAGACGAATCAGACAACCAGAAGCAACCTCAAAAACCTAATTCAAGCAGGCTTGTGTCCCAACCATAAAACACTGCAAGCAAACTAAAAGCAACATTACATTCAAAACAGACGCACCAGGAGCCGTCCCCAAATTACCCGATCAATTAACTCAACCAAAAACAAAAACAAAAAAGAAACCGTAAAAGAAGAGATGAAGATAGAAACGAAAAATAGAGTTTCGCCGAAAAGAAATGAAAGGAAGAGACCGGGGGCAGAGGTGGTAGGTGACTTCGTTTAGATGGTCGACCGAAGAGAAAGGAATGCCGATTGAACCTATGGATTGGGGGCTAGTCCGCCCTTCTACACCGCCCTATCTCTCTTCCAAGCGTTACCCTCTTATGATATACCCGTAACGCCGTATCAACTTTCATGCACCCTGCCCTATCTTATTATTTCCTCCCGAGCGATCGTCACCGTTGATAGACGATATCAACATCGCTGAGCTTTCAGATCCGTCGATTCGCTTGCCTCAGGATGTTCATTGCCAGGGAGTGTCCGGAAATGGGACACGTTTTCTTTATCGCCAGTGAGTTTGGTTTTAATCTCAATAATAGCCCTAAATATTTGAGTCTGATGACTATTTTACCCTTAGCTAATATCACATTTCATTTTTACTTAATTAATAGCCGGCATTGCATTAACGGACGACATTATGTTTTCTATGAAAATGTAACATTATTTTTTTACCAAACATATAGTTTTTACAACGAATTGTGATTGTGATTTTTCATGATTTTATTATTAAATTTTTATTACGAAAACGTATATGAATGTTAGTAATATAATCGATGACTAATCAAATTTTGCAAAAAAAAAAAAGATTTTACCATCACTTTTTATTGATAAATATATTATCTTTACTTTTTAATATCGTACAATTAAGTTTTAAATTAAAATTGTCATGTTTTTCTCAAAAATCATGAGAAGTATATGAAAGTTTTAAGCTGGGTATTTTTCTCAACAAAGGATGGATGGAATTTTAAACAGGGAAAAATGTTGAAACGATTTTTTAATTGACCGAAAAAAACGAATTTGAAACGAAAAAGAAGATAAACTCCCGAATGAGATGGAAATATCTACGTCATTGTAGCAAAGGCGTGGACGATACCTCTATTTATGGCGAACTTTGCTAGGTTTTATTTGTTTGTTTGTTTTTTTTTCCTTAAGTCATTGATATTTGACAAACCAATTGGTTGACAAATCAGGCGTCGTTATTGGAAACACGTATATGCCCCACATGACCATTTTAAACAACTGCGCCTAACATTTTAAAATTTTATTAAAAGCAAACTAATGGATGATGAATTAGTGTCCTTATTAGCCGAATATCTGAACCCATTTTAAAAGCAGCCATCAATATTTCATGGGCTTTGGTCCAATTCCTGGCCGATGTAGCGTTGGAATTGCCTCGGAAAAGGGGCCGGCCTATGAGAGATAGATAAAATGAGCCCTCCAACTCCCCCCAGCCCAAATCCATGGTGTCCTTTTCTCTTTTTTTGTTTATATCTAAATATGTGCATCCAAGAAGTTATACCATACTTAACATAGGATCTAAGTAATTAATTTAAATAGATTAAAAATATTAGTTAAATTAGTTAATGTGATGTTTTCTTTCTAAAACACCGTAAACATCTTTCTCCCCCTCTTTCTTGATTGTTATTGAAAAAACATCAATAAGGTTGATTTGAGAAAAAAAATTATTAAATATATGAAATAATTCTTATATATAAGACTAATATCAACTCCTCAATTAAAGCCAACATTAAGAACAAAAAGAATACTACTTATAATTTATAAATCATAGACAGCACAATTTACTTTACCTATATGCTATTACAAATTTGTTTCTGGTTCTACGTTGTCCATCTCATCTTCAAATTGTATTCAGATTATCATGCCCACGATTCAAATGTGCCATCAATGGTGCTCTTTAACCCCAGTTCACTTTCACTGTTTGGAAAATTCTGATGGATTCTATCAGTGCTAGTAAACAGAGTTTTGACGGGATGCTGACTCGTCCTAAAGATGCAATGCCTGATACAAGATCTATACCACGCGCGAGGATTTTATTCAGTCATCTTCTGTTACTCTCCCTCCATCCTTTTGTTATCTTCCATTCGAAGCAAGGGGCAGAACGTGGCCGCCAGAAATGACTCACCTCAAGCAATAACGAGGTCCACTGCCAGCCATTCCAGCGTCGATCAAGTGCTTATTTCTGCTAATAATTACCCTGGAAGATGGAGTTTGGAGACACGGGCTTCATCGCTTGACCCCACGCCATAACATATGCCTCCTAACAAAATAACCATCACGTACAGTTCATTAAACCGGGCTTCAATTATCCAACTAAAATCTACCACCTGCTACTCACAAAGTCACAAGGCTGCAAAAGTGACGAATGTAGCATTTGAGCCACCAAATATAAACATGTCAACCATTGGAACCGCAGATTATATTCTTCATTAAAAACCCATGGAAATGGATATTCACCGCAATTTCCATTTTAGTTCTTACTCGTGCTGCTTATGAATAAACAATCAAAATCTAAAATACATAAACTACATGCTAACTGTGAGGCGAGGCAGCCGGTATATGAACCTATTTACATTACGAGGTTGGGACTTTCGGGGATGGGGGAAACAACTATGTACAAAATAGGATTGTCGGGGGGAAATAAATCAAAGGCTGCTATCACCTTGCCCAACACACTATTACATACATACTATACTTGGAGTAATATATAAATGGGCAGACTATACTTGTTCCGGGGTAGGTCCAAAATTGTATAGACGCTGACGCGTACCAGCCATGTTATGCTTCGAGTCACTTCATCAGCAGTTAGGAATCAAAATTTGTCTTCGTCATAATTCCCAACTGGAAGCCTTATAGAACATCCTGCTTCTCTAAAGCGGAGCTGTAAATCAGAATTAAATATCATTTCAACTTTACGTATTTGAAGAAAACTAGCTATTGTTCTTTTAAGTCAACATGGATAATTCAAATTTCAGAATCAACACGGTAAAACTGACAGCTATTGTCAATGAAGTCACCTGGATGCTATGGTATCAAATTGAATCATCACGAAGATGAAATTATACTTCTTTAGCATCCATGCCTTCGCTAGCCGACAGACTCTCCTCACCCCCAAACCTTATTGTTCCCGGGTTCATTTTCTGAATTTCCTCTTTGGGGTAGATACATATTTTACGAACCATGGCACAAAACTCCCTGATTTAGATATAACATGAGTTAGATCATTTGTAAAGAAAAAACAATTTTAAATATAATCAATAAACCATTGACTAAAATTAGAAAGAGATCCTTACGGCCACGGATCATCCCCCACAAGCATCATGTCACCCTCATTGTCGGTGTAGACAATAAGCCAATCCTTTTTCAAAGACCTTAATTCCCCTCCAAATTCAAACAGTTCATCTAATTCAACAATTAGCTCATCATAGTTGCTGAACTTTGTAAGGTCAACTGACCTACCAAGCGCAATCCCCTTCTTGTGAACCTATAATTATTAGCACTTGATTTGATTAATTTTTCTGAAAACCATTAGCTTGTATAGTGTAGTTCATGTGACAGAAAATGATCTTACTTTAGTGCAACTCCTAGCAGAATCACTGCGTGGTTTGGCTTGAACACCTTTCACACGTGGCTGAAATGTTTGTGATGGCTTTTCATGGTCATCAGTGTCAACTGCAGCATCTGGCAGCTTTGATCCACTTGGTTGTTCTGATTTCAAATCACTTTCTTTGGTACAAGGCCGTTGTGACGTGAGATGCTTGTGACTAGCCGGTTTGCATGCCACATTTATTTTTGAAGGCTCTGGTGTACTTGGGCTGCTGATAAGTGAGATGCCAAATAGCTTACAGTCCCCTTCTTTAGCTTTAACAGTCTCAAATGATCTTGCTGGCATTGGTTTTTGCATGAGGTCTCTTGAATCAGGACTATCATGCTGAGTTGGAGGTGGAGGTGGGGGCATCAACAAGCTTCCATGACTACGCTCTTCTTTGTGACCATGAAACACGGGGTAACCTCCAAATGCATCATACCCCACATTCCGCCTAGAATGGTGAGTTACATCACTGTCTTGTGCAGAACCTTTCATGTTAGGGTCTGAGAGGTTTAATGATATACTAGAAGGCATTATAGACCTTGGGCAGGCTACCACATTAAACTTCCCTTCGTGACCTAATACATGTTTTCTTCCAGGACCAGCCACAGGGCTAGTTTGATGTACCAAGGATAGACGAGTTCGATCTCTACTCGTCCCAAAGCCTGAAAGCAAATCTGAATATGTAGGCTCATGCCTCCCTATTGATGTCCAGCTCTCTGGAGCAAACGTACTTGAAATAGACATTGCATCATTTTTTTCATCAGGTTTTCCCGCAGCATCAGATTCATTGCTTTCCGCCAAATTGCGTCTCAATGTCGAGAATTCTTGACCTTGCAATACCCTTGGAAATCCACTAGCCGGCAAAGGGTCCATACTTACCTTAGATGACACTGCAAATCAACCCCCAATAAAACAGTTTCACTAACTAAACTACAAATTCTCCAATAAAGATTATTCTTTGAAAAAACAAAATTCTGTGCTACATAACCAAACCTTCACGATTAAGAACCGAGGAATCAGGTGATAATGGAACCGCATTAGAGCGAGGCCTTTTAGGCCTGGTCAGTGTAAGAGGATTTAGAGCTGGAGGAGCATGAGCAGGCTCTATTTTCCAAGGGGAAACTCTCTCAGGACGAGGAATGCTAGACGTTTCATCCCATCTCACCTGGAAGGCATTCAAGAAACTACATTACAGCATGCCATATTCAACAGTCAAACATAGCGGCATAAAAACCGGTAATAGAACCTTGAGGCATCTCCATTTGGATTTTGGCCACCTTTGTGGATCAGCATCTTCAAGTCCAATAACAGTACCAGTAAACCTACAATTTAAAAAGTAACATGATCAAATATTTTCAAATTAATGATAAAACTCTGCTTAATTACTTTTTACAGGCGAAGGGGTGGAAAAGAAAATGACATCGAATATTCATACCTCTGCTCTGGAGCCTCTTCACCTTCAAACCTCATTTTGAACCGCATTCCTATTGTATAATTATTTTTCAGAGACTCCATATACTGATCATATGGAACAATAAATCCAGCAGGACTGGTCCTGCAAATATAATATTTTACAAAAGTTCTGTAAATTCTGCCATGGAAATCATTAAGAAAGAAATGCTCAAACTAGATATACACATGCTCTCAGAATCGCTCATCACCTAGAACATAACATACCAGGTTCAAACCGAAATTACTCATATAGCTTGCTTGATGGGTATGATTTAAAGAATATGTTACAGACCTGGGCTTGTAATACACAGTGAACATGGTCCCAGTCGTAACCGCATGCCAGGCAGTTGCAAGGACACCAAGATGCATGCTGTGACAAGAGATCACTGAGGACGGAACATTACCCTGCTGTCTCATTGCACGCCTTACACCAACACGAAGTTCCCCATTCTCACCCCTGGGAATTAGTCGGACATTATTTAGAGAAGCAAAAGCAGTGAACTATGAAATCTAAAACCCCGCTCAGGAATAAAAACACAAACCTCAAAAATATAAATGCATCACCAGCAAGAAGCCTCTTAGAGCTAACAAAAATACTCCAACCACTTTGCAGTAAATGTCTACGTGGATAACCTGAAATTTACTAAAATTATCAGCCACAAACAATTAATAAAATGGAACAAGAAAATGATACGATATGCAAATTAAAAATGCCCATTCAATCTTGCTGAATAATCGGGAAAACAAAATATGTAAGAGAAACAAATGGCTATCATTCGACGCGAGCACTCGGCTGGTATATTACAGTAACGGATATTCCATAACTTTTAGGATGAATATTATCAGTTAATATCATTACCTCTAAAAATATGCCTGAATCTCCACTCGTTACCGTGTAGATCCTTCGCCACCAACTCCTGGTTAGGTGGCTGCTTCGACATATCCTGTTAACAGACAAACACAGAGAGTTCCTCTCATTCAGTATCGATGACAATAAAAACAAAGCACAATAAGGAGACATAGGCAAGGACTAGACCAGCGGAGGAAGGCATTCATCGGCATGACGTCTCAGCACTGAAAATCCACCATGAGTACTCGTATCAGAGGCCGTCAGAGTTTTGCAGAAGGAATGCACCTGAAATCGTGGTGGTGGAGGAGGCGGAGCCTCTTTCTCCACGGCGTTTTCATCTTGCTGGAGATCGAACCAGGATTTCAGAAGAAATATCGTCAGGATCATATTTTGTCACTTAATACTCTGGGTCAACGGGGCTAAACACGGGAAGCGAAAAACTTACATTTGGCTCCGGAAGCAAGGTTACCTGGGCAAACACCTCATCGGTGTCCGGCTCCGCCTGAAATTTATTTTTCAGCAAATAAGTAAAGTCACTTCATGTACCATGCAAAATACAACCTTCAAAGTTAGAACTCCTTTAAATGATTACTTTGGTTGGAAAGCTTCGAAATATATGAACTGCAATAGATACAACAAAGCTACCTTCAACAGGACGTTGACCACTCGACAAAGGATTTTCGATGGAAGATTGTACACAGGCATCTGCTGGTCCGCCACCTGATTTGTGGACGCCTCCACCTAGTGAAGCAGGAAAACAAGCGCTAATGGTTAGCAATTTCAACCAAAAAAAAACCCACGTCAAATAGCAGCAAAAAAAGAACAAACAATAACCTTTGAGACTTGAATCCATTATTTCACGCATTTATTCAGTATTAAGAAACAAGTTCACAAAAGAAAGCCAGGGACAGCAAAGACACCCTACTCAGAACAGCATAGCCCAGGTAGGAAACGTTATTTAAGTGGATATAGATGAGGTTAGCAACAATAAGTCACGGACAAAGAGTTTCTATCTGAGGCCTGCAAATGGCTTAGGAATTACTTGCTCAATATGTCCCTGAGGAAAATAGAAGACCCGTTCCCGTTCACGGGGCAATGTAACCAGGGGACCAGCACAAGCATGCCATAGCTCCTTGTAAAGCGCTGCTTCCGAGTCTATTACAACACAGAAAAACAGATATTGAGAAGCCGACACTCCAGATATGCCAGAAACCACAAATTTCTGAGAGTTAACGAAAGTAAATACGACAGAATCACCTCTGACAGTTGACGATGAGTGGGCATTCTGACACCCTGTAGGATTCCAAGCCTCGTTATAGTTATTGTAAACAGAGGAGCGGCTTCGCCCCGTCCCGTCCATGCGATTTCCCTTGATCGATACCTCTGATGCTGATGATCCCATTTTTCAGAAACCTCACTATAGATCTCTCATCCGAGAGATAACTTGTGCAATACACAAATTATATCACATTCACAAAGCTTTTGGCGATGCCTTCACCGCTTCACGCTTTCAATTCTCCTCGACCAACCTAGAAGATACAAAAATCACCGACGTCTTCTTCCTTTGTCGTCTTTATCGTCTTCCTCTTAAACAAAAACACACAAATATGCAAGCTCCTTCTACCCAAAACAGCAAACAACTCAGACTCGTTTCTCACGGATTCTCAACCTCTTTCTCTCAAAATGACCATCAAATTCCAAATGGACCCTTTCACAAAAAGCAGTCAATATTATATATAGTGCTTGTCTATATCTCTCTTTCTCTCAACTAAGACGTTAGCAGCACCAGAACCATGTCTCACCTTCTTGCTGTATGAGGGGAAGACTTAAACCGGAGTGACAGAACAAGCGCACGTAATCACTTTAACCGCGGTCAATCCTTTAAACAGTACAGGCCACTGGCATTTGCCGGTCACGTGGCTTTTTCAGATGGGCTACGACCGGTGACGAGATAAAGTCGTCTCAGTGCGGGGGACCAACAAGGAAGAGGCAGCGCGGTGAAAAATCAGAAGGCAGAGGCGGGGCTCTGACGGAGAAGAAATAACGACGTTACGCCTGTCCTTGGAGTTGTCGAAGAAGCATTGGCTTGGCATGTAACGGTGGCGGGAAAGTTAACCATTTCAGTCTGATATGAATATGATTTTATTGATTAATATCTAAAGGAAATTTAATATTAGCTTCTGCTTCTAGTGTACCAGTTATGGTGAGACTGACGACATTCATGTGCCCGGGTGCCCCAGGGCCCACGCCGACACAACTGTGAGCAGCAGGTGTCGCGCCACTGGGGTCATCCCGTCCTATATCTCGCCATGATATATTGCTCAATGCCCCGTTTAATTTCTCGCATTCGAGTATATCGATATCGGGTAAATCTAGCTAGAAAAAAATTGTAATTATAGCGTTAAGCAAATAATGATAATAAATATGATTAACTACTCCAATGTCAAAAAGAATGTTAGTGATTATCGTATATCATTATACTATTGTAGTGCGATCCCCCGTGCGCGTCCTTGCAGCCCGAAAACATTAGTTTTGGCTGCCTTATTTATGGTGCGCATCCGAATGTCCATCGCCAGCTCAGCATAAATTGTCTCCGAATATGCATGGGAACTGAGATCCAGGGAAGCGTACTACGTTTCCGTATCGATGAGGGTATAAATGCGAAATCGAATTTTAAGACTATTTTGTTTGTAATTAAACAACATCCAATCTTTTGACCAAAAAAAAAAACAACATCCAATCCGACTCAGGGCGGTTCTAATGAAGTTATTTCTCTAATATTAGAAGCGTGTTAGCATACAAAGAAGCGACCACTAATGGGTATATATCTGTAGATTTTTTTTTTTGGCCGAAGGTATATTTTGTAGATGTTGGAATGGAGATTTGCGGGTAAATAGCATGGTGTGACGATGGGGATGAATTTTGATGTAAGAAAATACCACTATGATACTCTTCCGGTCTTATTAGAACTCATTTAACTAATTTGATTAGATTAAAAAAGTTAGTTAATTATAAAAAATGTGACATGTTTTTCTAAAATACATAATCATCTTTCTTAATACATCATCTTCCTCTTCTACTTAATTATGGCTGGAGTATCTATATGAATAGTCTAGAAAAAATTGATAAATATAAGAAATGAGACTTATATTTAGGACCAAAACCAACTCATTTATAGAATAAAAGTTTGATCATAAATATATGATAGCCCATTAAATACAATAAAAAAAAAAGATGAAAGAAAATATACAGTATATTTTTATTTTCAAATACCATTTCTAATAAGGATAAATATGAAAAATATTACCAATTTAATGCATTGTTTATGTGTGATAATAAATTACAAGTCACTTACACAGTATAAGGCCGGAACAATATCACCGGAGAGGGGAGGAGAAATTCATGCGTGCTTCCATGAGCACCGATTTTCATGCATTCTAACCAGTTAAAAGCCAACAGCTCAACTAACTTTAGTCACAGCTAAGAGATGAATCCATTTGAAATTTTGGGAACAAAAAACCCTTGTCATCGAATTCCTCCCAGCGGGTCACCTCATTTTATTTCCATTAAACCAGGCCTGAAGGCTCTGCCCTGTCTATCCCTCCTATAACTATTTACATTCTTTAATAATAACTCTGGTATTAAACATAACTTCAATTTCCTATGACGGTGTTTGGAGAGGCATCCTGAAATCGGATGTCTAGGTTAACGCTTGAAAGTATAATATATATTCATCCTATCTAATATTGGTATCACCTAAGATAAGTCATCTTTAGTTTGGGTTGAATCCGAACCCCTATCTAAAATTTTATTATTATATAAACATAAAATCTACTTTACACTATAAATTAGATTTTATATTTAAAATATGAGGTAATATAACATTATTCTCTGCAAAATCAAAAATAAAATATTAATATCATACTACAAAAGAAGTTAATTCATCCCGGCGTTAACTTTTTTCCTTACCGAACCCGTTAATTTTCGAGGTAGGTGATATTTTTTTTTTTTTAATGCGCTACTGTCACTGCGCTGGCCCCCAAAAAAAAAAAAACTCATAATAATGTATGCCTTCACTGCATAGTAGTAGCGCTTAAAGTGGGAATCCCCTGGATGTCTCCTAATTTGGGTTCATGTAATCCCGCTCCGTGGGGCCCGGCTGAGGCTTGTTTCCTCTCTCCTAGGCAATTTCCTAATCATCTTATTAAATTGCCCTTCCTGTTTTTCTTTAACGCGCATACTTTGATTAATTTAATAATTTCTTCAATCACGTACTAACCCCGTCCACGTCATGCATTTACCCTTACGCTCACCCCCCCGCCCATGCTCATCCAATAACGGTTACGGACTTCAAACGGGGTTTCACTTTTGTTAAGGGAGAAAAACGCTGTGGGCGCGGATTCCTGCAATTGTTGGGTGCAGTGAAGTTTGAGGATGATTCCTTGTCAGACGCTAACTGTGGACCCGCCACGTGGTGGGCATGTCAGTTTGTGGGACACGTGGCATTCATTGGATGGACGAGGAAGTGGGACCCCTTTTGTGCTTGAACTAGTGGTTGCGTAGCGCGTGTTGCGTAATTATGAACGGCGTTACGGAAGGGACGTCATCGCTATTCAACAACTGCTACGTGGAACTCTTTTATCCGTTTTTTCCCCTGACAAAATTTATTTTTATATTTTTCTATCCAAAGGACGAAAAGAAACAGTGTGGTCAAAAAGTTAACGCCTTTCAACGGCTAAAACGTTTTCCCCTCTTACTTTAATCCACTTATTTGTATTGTATGTTGATGAGGGGGGGAAAGAAAAAAAAGAAGAAGAAGAGAATTCAAATCTGTGTTTAACAAGATTTATTATCAGAAGAAAGACAACTATAAACCTCATTAAAAAATTAAAAGTTAATATTATCTCATATTTTAATTATAAGATCTCGTTTGTAGACTACAAATAAAATCTTATAATTAAAACTAGAGGTAATATAATTTTTAATAGTTTAAGTTTACTTATATTTAGGTTTTAGTTCTTTAAATTTCACATAACAGGTTTTTTTTTATTTAAAACATTCTCTCCAATCTAATGAACTATTTTATCTCTAACTTATGGTTTGAAATTTGAAAAGCTAAAATTAAAACAAGGATAAATTTGAGAGATTAAAAATTAATATTGAATCAAAATTTCATCATAACTTAAGTTTTCATGCTTATTTTCTATATTTTAACGCCTAAAATTTTTTAAAAAGTTGTGATTTGATATTAACATCATTATATGGCCCTCAGTTGTCATTATTTTTTTATTATATTCTAGTTATTTTTTTAAAAAAAAGGGTAAAAATAGAATCTTAATACATTTTTTACGATTGATTTTTTTAATCGGTGAGGTTGAAGTTTTGTTTTTTCAATTATCTTTCATGAAGAGTGCATGAATTGAATGAATTGCGACCCTTACTAGCAATTGCCTTACATTTTTATCGTCTAGTCTACCCTATCGTTCTTTCTGTCATATCGATGAAAGCTTTATGTTTGCACAGAATTGGAGAGCGTACGGAGACATAAAAAAGAAAAATGAAGGGAAGGACGAGATAGCACTAGAGTGATGAGAACCATACGGCAATAATAGCGAGGGAAGGTAAAAGCAGCAGTGCGAATTTCAAGTCTTATTTTTTCCCGTTTGATCCCACCCCAACTTTAATGATTTACCCGTACACAGTTAAACAAGGGTGTAATGAAGGGAGTAAACGGGGGGGAAAAATAGAAAAAAAATTATTTGATGTCTATTGTTTTGATTTGATTATAATCTGGTACTTAAATTTTGATTCGGTGCATTTCAATTTCTATAGTTTCAACTCTATTATAACTCAGTCATTGAATTTTAACCCGATACAGTTCAATTGTTATAGTCTTGAGCGTTGATCATTTAAAATATTAATCTTTATATTTTAAAATTAAAACTATATATATTATAAAACTGATGAATTAAATATTAAAATAATCAAAATATAGGAATTAGATTTTAATTGAGTTAAAATTATAATGATTATCTTTAGAAATTAAATTCAGATCAAGACATATAAATTAAAAAAAGTTAATATAAACTTTGATCTTTTAAATTTGTTTTCATTTTAGTTTTAATCCCTCAAATTTCAAACAATAAGCTTTGATCCCCTAAATTTTTTTCATTTAAAACATTGTCTTATAATACAAATAAGAACTTGAACCATTTTATCCTTTTATGGAGCAAAACTTATAATTTGAAATTTGATAGATCAAAATTAAAACGAGGACAAACTTAAAGGGTAAAAAATTATATTAATCCAATTGAAAAAATTGATTTTTCTAGTGGGGAAAAGGGGGGGAAAGAGAATAAGGAGACTACGGGGTGTTTGGATGGAAACTAAGTCATGATTTTAGAAGTGATTTTACGGTTTACAAAATAAATATATAGAGGAGTTTATCTCGATTTACGAAAAAATATTTTTGAGAAGCACTTTTTAGGGTATCCAAACACCTCCTAAAAGGGGGGCAAGTAAGGGAAAGAGGAAAAAGGGGAGGAGGAAATCGTCATTGAAGTGAGGAAAAAGCAGGGGAGGGAAAGTAAGAAACAAAAAGGAAAAGATGAGGCTGGAGGGGGGTTGGCACTTTTTGAAGGTTAGGTATATAAATTGTGAACATGATGAGTTTTTGTTTTTTGGGGTTCCAATGCCCACTAATATGCATCCATTACTGGACGCCACACCACCCCAATTTCGGATCCCATCACAATTTTCTCAAACATCTATTACGGGACGCCACACCACCCCAGTTTCGGATTCCATCACAATTTTCTCAAACAT